ACTTTGTGGGGACACGCGACATGAGGGCAGTGTGGGGCACCATCGACTTGCTGACGCCACCGGCAGGACACGCTAGGACGCGCCGTGCCCTGCCCTGCCGTGCCACGCCTCCGCCCCAGCCTTGACCAGCGTGGCGGCCTGGTGGCACGGAGACACTAGAGGACTCAAAATCGATTGACGGAAACGAACTGGAGCAGACGACCAGCCCGAAGACTCCCCTGGGGACAATCGTCACCATTTCATGCCGCTCTAGCGAGCCATCTATATGAAAACGTAAGCCAAACACACTGTCACCTTTTGGCACTTCAAAAGGAAGTCATAACTTTTTTTTACCTGCCCGGGCCGGACCTTGCTCCAAGGAACTCTAACCGGATTACAATAACGGTATTATTGCCCGTGTTTTGTTTGGCCCGTGAAGCCTAGCAAGGGTGTCTTTGCCCGGCCGGCCCGTCCCGCCCCACCCCACCCGGTCGGGGTGTAACTTTCATGAGTTTTGCGGCCGCCAGTCAATCAACCTCCCCATTCACCGCCTCATCACCAAGCCATCTCCGATTTCAACTGCCTCGCCACTGCGCTCACTTCGAACCTAACAGTACACACTTACAAATGCATACCCGCACTTACAAATGCACCTGCACTTACAAATGCATACCTGCACTTACATATGCATACCTGCACTTACAAATGCGTACCTGCACTTACAAAAGCATACCTGCACCACTTACAAATGCATATCTGCCCTTAAAAGTGCATGACAGGTACACACAAGCGCATATGCGTACTATCGAGTCTACCGGGGCAAGCATGCACTTGTGAGTGAGTGCTTGGCCACGTATGCCTTTGTAACTTCGTACTTTGCCAAGTACAGGGCAAAAGCGGTACTGGGATTCCCTGGCCCACCCTGGAAAAAGGGGGTCGGCCATTTTCCAGGTGTGCTGCCCGGGAATGCCAGGTACTGCTTTGCATGTGTTTGTAAGTGTGTACTCAGTAGACCGTTAGCTGTGCAGTGTTGCCACAGCCTTGCGTTGTCCTCAACAAGGTCCACAACAACAAGGTCCCGTTATCCTCGCACCGAGACAACAGTGGTCTTGGCTCGGCCTTGCAGTGCAGGGCCGCGTCCTTGGACGCTGTCCGATTGGACGCTGTCCAACGGACAGGCGGTCGATAAACAGGCCAATCGGAGGGCCGCGCCAAATTTACAAAACGAAACGACTCGCGCCATCAGGCCTTTTCGATTTTTTTGAAAGTGGGGCACTGAGGCAAAGCACATCATCCCGCGACATTAGGCCGTCAGTGGACTATTGTTCTCGCGTCGCCATTTTCATCAGTGTCCCTGACGGTCCCCGACAGCGAGCACACTGTCGGCCCTTCGATCGGACCGGGCTGCTCTAGCAGCTCTAGCCGGCCAGCAGGACAGCGCAGCGCGGGGACGCCGCCAGAGGGCAGCAGCAGCAGGGCCCATGTCGGAAGCTTACGACGAATAAAGATATCACTGAAATAGAATCACTGAAAATATCCCTGAACTGCAGGAAATAACCACAACAAAAGTACACAAATTTCTGGCAAATTCAGCGACAACGTTTCCATATTGTTCTTAAGTATTTATAAAATTGTACTTAATCTACGTACAAATTTTTAAATAACTTACATATGCACAAATAAAGCAATAGTTATGGACAAAAAACACCGTAGGAATCTAGCGTGCACGGCACATGAGCTGCAGAACAATGTGAGCAGCCGCTTCTAGCCCGTAATGGTAATGGTAACGAGGGTAGGCCCGCCCGTAACGCACGGCCGTGGAGCGGGACGGCCTACCCTCCAGGCGCTCCCAGCCTCCTACCTCCTCTCATCTCCAGATTTGCCCAGCACCGTCCATTCACCCAACCAGAACGCGCGGTGCACGCCACACTGGAAACCTGCATTGAAGGGGAAAGCAAGGGAAGAAACGTGTTGAATCATCATTGCTTGGTAACCCAAGGAGAACAAAACGGCGAGCCCATCGTGACCTGCAGATTCCGGCTTCCTTTACATGCCAGCTCGTAAAACGCCAACAAAATCAACAGGTGTATTGGACAAATGCCGCTTTTGTTCGGGCCTGTTCTGAATCCCCCAGGCCTCACGCCTCATTATTGAAGTAGAGATCGCCTCTGCCGACTGATTCTGAGGACCGCTTCCGTCTCTCTCGCGTCTTTAGGAGACGCCCTGTGGGTGGGAGGGAGACGGAAACGACTCTCGGAGTCAGTCTGCAGCCGAGCCATAGGCCAGACAAACCAACTGCGCCCCGGCTGGCAATGGCCTGCGTCGGAGTGGCCCGGAGGCCCGGAGCTGGAGTCGCACGGCCGTAACTTGGCTGGACTTCCCTCGGGATAGCGGACTCTCGCTGGAGCGCGCCCACAACACTCCTTTGTTCCCAGCGGTCCCAGAACTCCGGCCGGTCTGTGTTCGACAGCCGGTCTGTCGCCGCAGCGCCTAGTGGGCCCCGCCTGCTTCTGGCCGCAAACTTTCCGCCGCCTGCGCGCGCTTTGCCGTTTTATAATGAGCTGGAAAGTATCGCCTTGTGCAGGAAATTGGTAATTCAGTTTGCATTTGGTCAAGGCTGTTGCTTTTGGGAGAGAGAGTCACTTTGAAGTCGAATTGCAGCAGAATGTCTGTGATACGGCGTGCTTGCTTTTCGATATTTAACCCGAAATGAGACCGACGATGTTGGCGGTGTATTTTGAAAAGTGAACCCCTTTCGGCCTCGGGCGGTCCTCGTCGTTCCGTCCCGCCCGATCACCCTCGTGCGCCTCAAAGCCTGAATGCCCATGAATACATACAGTGGACCGGTCCGCAGTCAGGCAGCCAGCCAGCCAGCCAGGCAGCCAGCCAGGCAGGCAAGGAAAAAGATAGGAAATTGCCAAGACTTGGAGGACGCGGCCCGAGCGCCCCGAGCGGCCCCCGCTGCAGAGGCAGTGGAGCTGCAGTTGAAGCAGCCTGGCCGAGCGCTGGCGGGCCATTTGAATAATTATTCGTTGAGCACCCACTTTTCCGAGACTCTCAACTTGCGAAAACTAGAATGACCGCCCGTCCCGCGGATGGCAACACTGACGCGGCCCTGCACTGTCAAACCGTGGTTTCACAGTGTGTCGAGGGTATCGTTCCTATCTGCGACTCGACTATGCAGGCTCTGAATGTGTTTTGTGTCGCGGTTGAGACACCATCCCTGCCGCCCACGCCGTGCCGTGCGGCCCGTGCGGCCCGTGCGCGCATCGACAACAATGGCGCCATTCTGCGCATTCTGCACGCAGTGTGGCCACGCTGCCGGCGCTGCCGCACACACTGACTGCACCCTCTCTCCCTTCGCCCGGCCGAATAAGAGGCGAGGCCAGAATTCAATTTCCGGAGGGACTTTGTGTGTAACGCGGAGCAGTGCGGAGGGTTGGCCGATTCCAGTGGCGTGGTGAGTTCGGCAGCGACTTGTGCCTTTGGCATTGCTTGGCATTGCTTGGCATTGTGCGCGCCTGGCGAGCCGGCACTGCCAGCAGACGGACGGACGCCTCAAAAGTTGGAGCAAGCTGCAGACTGATTCCGGGAGCCCTTCTCGGCGCTCTGTCTCTCTCGCGACTATACAGAACGCTCCATGAGTGCGAGAGAGACACACTCTAAATGTTCTACAGTGAAGATTCTCCATATTATGGTGAAAATGTTCCATATTATGGTGGTGCAGCTGACTTCGTAACATACCATTGAGAATTCACTGTACCTTATAGAGATTTTGACGAATTTCGTTGGTATTATGGAGAAAATCTCCACCATATTATGTTGGTGCAGCCTTTCACCGTAAGACATTTACTGTGCAGAGCGACGAGAACGACGCTCGGAATCGGCTGCACGAGCTGAACCTGCCGCACTGCGAGAAAAGATCACGGTAAATCCTGTACTGATTACTCCAGACTTCACCGTACTTTTTTTTAACAGGCAATACCGTCGTCTTTTTACAGGCAATACCGTACTTATTTTACAGGCAACGCCGTACTTTTTTTACAGGGAATCCCGTACTTTTTTACCCGGCAATCCCGTACTTTTAATACCTATCAAAGACTGCTATAATTTTTTTCAATCGGTCGACCCTTGTTTTTTAAGATCCTGATGTACGTAACTGCTGAAGTCGGACTCCTGGACCCCCCTTCCGACCACTCGTTGAAAAGGTCTTGACGAGACCTATCGAAAGGTGCAATAAAATTTTTCAGTCGGTCGACCCCCTTTTTTCAAGATACTGATGTGGACAAATCTTGGGAGCGGCCTTTGTTGGGACCAGATCTAGTCCTTCCTACGGCATGGACTCTACGAAAGAACGGTAACTTCTGTTAAAAAACTACGGAATAATTTGTAAAACAAGTACGGTAAATACTGTAGACTGTACGGTGGATACTGGTTTTTGAAGTACGGTAAAGTTTGGCAAAAAAATTATCCAGGATTTACCGTCATTTTTTCTCAGAGTGCGGACCGAAACTTTCCACCGACAACTCTAGAAACTCAAGAGAGTGCGTGGCAGGCTCCGCCTGCCAGTACACCACAAAGCACGCGTCATCCCGAGTGCTTGCTATGCTAGCACGCTGTAGGATGGAGCGGGTGGTGGGTGCTTAGCTCTGCTGCGATGCGCTGCGTCCCAGGTAGAGCATGCCATGCACTCGCTTGATTTTCTAAGGGAAGTGCCGAGTGTTGCCTCACAAATGGTCTCAAAGAGACGCCCGCTGGCGCAGCTGGCGCGCTCGGTCTGCTATTGTTACGCCTTTTTTGCACACCGTAAAGACAACAGCATTAATTTCTTTTTAATGAGCAAAATCAGCCCATTTGCTTCTATCGTAAGGCAATTATCTCACACGCTACATGTGCGCCCAGGTTTGAATAGGGTGCCTTCAAGGCGGGAGATTCTACTGACCAATCACAAGAGAGGATGCTAGTCCTGTCCGCACAATTTCTCATAAGCCGCGGGTGCGGTTCTGAAGAAGAACAGAAAGACTTCAAACAAACAAAGCAGAAGACAGGCTACATTTGCGAGACGGCACTACGGCACAACTTTGCGCAGCATCGAACTATTCCGAGCGTTGCCGTTGTTTTTCAGGCAGTAAAGTTTGAAAATATGAATCCAAGGGACTAGTCTCGAAAGTGTCAGTCTCCTTGTTGATGGTGTGCGGTCTGGGCGTCACTGGCATTGCTCGTTACTGCACTGGTCGGGTCGGAACCCGTTTCTTGTCTGCGTCTGTCAATGCGGGTGATTTGCGAGAGAGGGTTTGTCAGTGAGTACCTTTTATAGATCTTTGCACATAATTATTTTGTCGCTGCCACGGCGACAGACTGGTGGCTTGATTCGGCCTCTCGCCCTGAGGACCGAATCTCACCTGCACTGAAGTACCCGATGGGGAATATGAAGGCCTAATCTTTCTCTCGTTTTGAATGTATCTTTGAAATTCCCTTGATAAAGTTGTAAAATCTGCCTGTAGTCTCGTTGTCAACCTCTTCATTGTCACAGCGTTTACGTTTTCCCACCCACATGTCTTCCCTTATTGGAGGATGTAGCCAAATTTCAATTTATTTTCCTTTGTAAATGTTACTTTATTTTATTTTTCAAGAAGTAGTTTTAATAAGTCTAATGTGCCTCAACGATTTTCGATTTTCCAGGTGAAATCTTGAACTCTAAGCTATTTTCACAAAACGTAGGTTTAGACTCCATCATGGCAGTCACAAATGATGATAAAATAGCAAAATTAGAAGCAAAAATTGCGTCACTTCAACTACAACATGACTTTCTGAATGATCACATAAAGATGATTCAAGGTAAAAACCCAACTCTAGAAGCGAAAGTGAAAGCTGTTATGGACTGGAATCAAAATCTTCAATTGAAGGTCTTGGGTGAAGTAGACAGTAAGTATTGTCACACATAATTTGTGTGCACCTTTGTCAAATTAATTTGGCATATGCCAAATTATGCCAAGTTGGCCTCCTTTAAATTAAAAATGTATTTCATCATTTTTTTTTCCAGATATAAGATCTAGAGAACTAGCAACTCATGATAATGAAGCAGGTAAAAAAGAAGCATCTCATGACAAGGGGAAGAGCCCTCAGTAGTCATATCTTTCATACCACAGTGTGCACACGCAACATGTTGTAAGATGGAACTTCACCTTTGATTTCTTATCCTGCTAAATTATCCAAATCACTACAACTACTTCTACCAAACTTATTTCAAAGTAAAATATCTATTTCGACATTCTTCAAACTGGCCTTTAGCAATGTACCCACTCCCTCCAAAAAACTAGTAGTTTTTTTTTTGTAAATTTTATGGTTGTTTGGCAAAAAACTTATTTTACTTATTTTCTAAGATAGTAAATGTCAACTGTACAGTTAATTTATGCAGTGAAGCTCATTGTTGCTTTTCATATGTCGCTTCATCAGAAACACATTTTGTTCCATCTTCTGTGCCAAAACTCAACCGCGGTGATATGCAATTTGGAACCTGTGTCTTTGTCTTTAAATCTTTCTCTCAAGTGCTGTAAAATAATTCTTGTACATGATGTATATAGCAAGCAGGTAGCTTAAAGGTGGGGCATACTGAATCTCCAGCAGCTTGCTTTTGTTATTCAGTTAACAGTATTAACTTTGTTTCTCAATGTTTCTAGTCATATATTTTATTGAAAACAGCATTGCTGTTGTTGATGATCAATCTTATAAGCTCTTGATTATTTATTTTCATCTCAACCCTTTGGACTGATTTTATTTTTCTTGGAGAATGATCTCTACACTGAAGCTACAAGCTGTGGTCTTGAAACCTTATTAGAGAAGAGACTAGTGGTAACCCCTCAGGACAACCCTCCGATACTTTCAATGATCTGGACGACACAGGATCTGACAGAAGGTTTCGTAGTATTTGTGTATAAAGAAAGGTATTTATAATATTCCTGGTGATGAGGTTGGAGCACAGAGAGTGTACCCTACATACTTGAGATCCTCTGTTGAACAAGCCAGAAGCAATCGTCCCTGAAAATGGTAATGCTGCTTGAATTCTCCATCGCACAGATCATTGAAAGGAGGGGATAATACTAGATGCCGCCCTCTCCCTGCTCCTCCTTGATTAATAATAATTTTAATGCTGGTGTAGTGTGTGTAACTTTCCACTCTTAAAATGTGGACCTTTGTCTTCAGTTGTATGTAGGATAGTGTTTTATTCTTGTACATTCCACTTTCTGTTTCCATGTCTTTTGTATTTCAGTGTCTATTTGTTTTCAAGCTACTAAACTTGGTTTTAGTTGTGCACTTACTTCGGTTCATTGTTGATAAAATGTTAAACAAAGTGCATTAACAGCATGTAATTCTAATCATGAAGGGAAAAAAGCCCTCTTGTATGCCCCCAATATGATATGTTTTAGAAGCTCCCGACATATGTCAAGAAACAATTTCTTTGGTCAGAGTCTACACTTGCCCAACATGATTAGAAAGAACTGGCAGTAATTCAAAGTTGGATGCAGCGTGCACTATTTCTGCTCAATGTTTCTTTGTAGTTGAGCTTTGTTCAAGACTCATACATAGTTCAAAATAATATGAAGCAAAACTCTTGTTTCCTTCTTGCAGCTTCATCACAATTTTATTGAGGTCAGATCTGTGATTTCTTATGTAGAGGTATTCAAATGATTGTAATCCATTTAAGAGGTAACATTTTATTTACTGTCATTGACTTCAAATCTGTGACATTCCTTGTATATTTGTATAATTAATTGTTAATGGTTTTATCGGTTGTGTAAATAAATATTAGTGACAATTTGTGACAATATTTGAACTCGCCTACTTGCATAGACATAATACAGTATTTCAAAGTGAAAGACACAGTGAAACAACTCTAAATATCATAAACACACAGATTCAGTGCACCATTAAAGTGCACTTTAGACAAAAAAATTCTCATTTCAGTGTTTTGTCAATAACAAAATTGTCAAGATACTTTGAAGGTGTAAAAAATCACAGTGCAGCATTGATTGGTTATTGTCGATAAATTGGACAGATTCTTCCTCTCGCATCACCCCCTTCTTAATTGTTTTTCTTTTTTTAACTTTTATTGAAGCAAATTCTAGAAATCTAATGAACAAATTAGTAAGTATCAGAATTTAAAGGGAAGTCACAGATGTAACTACTGTAATATAAAGCACAACTTGTTTCAAGGAATGTATTTAAGACAACATATTGATCATGCATGGATCATTCGTCTATTAAGGGGCAAATAGGAATGTTAATACTTTAATGGAGGATGTGCTAAGTACGGTTCAGATTCACAGGATCATAACACTTAACATCAAACATACAAAGCTTCATTTTGAAGGGAAAGAACACATTAATTTAATACAGTAATAATAATAAATATAAAACAACAGGCAACAGATGACTAGTTATTGTCAAATCACAAAGTCCATGTAAACAACAGATCATACAAAATCTTTTCACAAATAGAAAAATGTTCTGCACCTACAAAGTTCAAGAAATTGAGTAAGTGGCCATGGGAATAAAACACCCACTTTTTATATAGAAAATTGAAACATTGTTTTTCCTTGTAAATCATGGAACAAAGAATGAAGTCTACAGAAACCACCATGGATTTGTTTCAGTTGTTATTTCCAATTTGAGCACATTCCTACAATACTGATGGGTTTCTATAACAATCAAACCTATAAAAATCCATCACCAAAAACACCACATCAGAAGGATTGGAACCTAACTTGTTATTCAATCAGTACATGGGTACTCTACTCACTTTTAAGCACTTAGGTACTAAAATCTAGATGTCATACTCATAGAACTACTTCATTAAAACCATAACATAAATTAACATACAAAAAATTGTTCCATTGGTAGTTTGGAGAACATTACAAACTACCATCATGCACATACATTCGATACAATAAAGGATCACTTGCATATTGAGCAATTGTTAAGTACAAATCATCCATTGATATAAAGTACTAAGAAATCTCATTCATCTTTTTCATGATATTGAATGTATGTTGATTTGCTTTTTATAGTTTTGCTAATAAATGCACCATTATCTGTGCTCCTAAAACTGGATGCTAACAATGATCATTCAAGCCAGTTTATTTAAAGAATCTTAAATGTCAAAAGGAAAGGCATGATTTTGTTAGGGAGAAACAAGAATAGAAAGGCACCCTTTATGCTCTTGAGAAATGCTCAAAAAAATCTAATTTAAAAATTTTACATGTTCATATCTTTAAAATAGAAACTAGAGAAAAGGCGTAACAAGAACATCACATAAATAAGGAAGACAATCCAGTATACTTTTATCACTACCTTCATGATAATCAACACACCTCAGAGTGTAAGGAATGCATTATGATATGATAAGCTGGGCAGCATTTCTGTCTATCTATTGCTCAATAAGGTGGGCAATATGGTGCAAAGGGCACCTCTAGGTTTAGACATGAATAAATAATGGTAAACTTGGTTTACCTTGGATTCCTATTGTTCAATGGGAGGAATCGTGCCTTGTTGCCAGGAGAGTAGGTCGTCCAAAACTGCTTCCATCAGAGGATTACCACCAAGTCGCTGGACCTGCCATACAATGAGAGACAGACACATAACAAATGGGACAAAAATTATTTGACAGAAGCAAATGAACAACAATTTTTAATGGTGCTCCTACCTCTGCACGAGCTTCTGCATCCAACTGCATGAGAACATCCCGAGTATGACTGAATGAACCAAGTTTTTCCAGGAGTTGAATGCAGTATCGTTTCACTTCAACACTGTGCGTGCGTTGGCGTAGTATATCTGGTTTATTTCTTAAGGAAGATAAATGTGCAAATGATGAAATCAATTTAAAGACAGTAGCAGAGTTAGAAGGCAGGGACATGAAACAATGTCTAGTGACCCCATGAAGGATTCAGGGGCATGACCACGTTCGTTTCTAATACCACAATATGCTGTCAAATTAATCATTTATTTTTAAAATATTATGAACATGAATCAACATATGAAAAGGATACGAATGACTTGAAGATCATCAGGTTTGCTACGGATAGCATGAATCACAGGGAAACTGAATTTTCCTTCAGTTAGATCTTCACAGTAGCTCTTGTTCTCGGAGTACTGTAAAGAAAAACCATAAGCGATAAATATAAACAAAAAGAATAACTAATGAATGAAATTGTTTTTTGATCAATTACCTCTTGTAAGCACAAGTTGCAGTAATCATCTCTTATCTGGAAATACAAACCCAAGATTCCAGTGAGATTAGTGAAATCCTCATCACTCTCACTAAATAATCTCATCAAGCGGATGGCAAGCATGAAAAGACCACCAGTCTCTGTTGAGAAAATAGAAAAACACAAAACCATAAACTTAAGAAAGTCTGTTGTAAGCGTTCTGTAAAATCAGCTCTAAAAGTTGAGTGAGACTGATAATCAAAGAAAATTTGAATGAAACTTGCTCCGAATAGTCATTTGACGATACTCTTCTTCTGTGGGGCATGAAAAATTATCCCTCCAGTATATTTCCATGCCTTGACCTCTGTGTAGCTCCAAGAGCTGCTGCGTGTACACATGTGTTGCCTAAAACAAAAACATATACTCTTGGAGGAAACCGGAGGACCAGGAAACAAGGTTTGCTTTGAGGTGGCCTTCACATTGGACATGATTGGGCTCGGTGGCTGGCCAGCCATCAAGTGGTTTGTCCTATGCTTCATGTCCATTGTGGAGCCACCTAAAAATGTGACCAATTTACCTCTGGGTGATTCAGACTCAAAACCTTTTCAAGAGCAACAAACATCACATAGTTGGCAGCATTAATTGTGCTTGCAACACCATAAATAGAGTGAGCGACAGGAATACCCCTGCGCAGAGTGGAGTTGTCCTGGATGTCATCTATCCTGCAAATGAATGTTACACAATTAGACCCGACCTGTATTGTGGGGAGATAAGGCAATAAGTTTGGATTTTGAGGTAAACTTACAGCAAACTTGAATTGTGCAACATCTGAACGATATCGCCAACAGCTGACAACTTTTCAGCAGGTATTTTGAGCCAATAGTTAAATGCATGGGCCAATTTGGCTCGTACTTGTTTCCCTGGGACTTGTAAAATGTACTGAAATGGTTGTAGAAGTTTCTGAAAGAGACGAAGAGTGCAATGTCAAGTGTGGGGTGAAAACAACCAATGTTCACAGGAAAACAAAATGAAAAATAAAGAAGTGTCCTGAATATAGTAACCAACGTCCAAAGTTATGCAAGTCTCGTTCCATTGATTTTAATGTTAGGTTATATTGTATTGATTTTGATTGAAGACCGTCAAGACATGGATTTACTTACTTCATCTTGTTCTTTCTCACCACTTTTGCTGTAAGGTAAATCACTTATGCAAGGTCGGCTTTCCATTTCAAATTGACAACGAACTAACAGAAGGAATTGCGTAGAAAAGTAAGAAATGTCAGTCGGCACAAAAACCACTTCTGCACTGCATCGTCTGCAACGCAGTCCCGCAGTATGAAAAATTTAATATTCACTAACCTATGAAAAATTCTTCTCCACCCCCCACCCCCCCCTTCCCCCCGGTTACTCCTACTCGTCTTCTCCCCGCTTCCTCTTCTGTTCATTCGGGAAATTTAGTCCTTGTTTACATTTCCATGTTTTAAGTGGAAAGATTAAGAATGAGCTCGTCATCAATGGAAGTCGATGTATGGGCCGGGAAGTGGGATCTCCCCTCTGTTGATCAGCAATGCTTGCAAGTTATGGTAAGTTGGTTCAGTCTAACCATTAGTCTCTTGGTCTAACCCTTTTCTTCATGCTCTTTTTTACCATATTTGTATTTTTAATGAGTGTTTGGGCATTATACATTTGATCTTTTTATTAAACATGATTCTGTGTCTTAAGGCTTATGCGAAGTTCAGCGGTGCACCAATTAAAGTTAATGTCACCAACAACCCATTCTGGTCGCCTTCCGGTTCTCTACCAGTTTTACGTAGCGGTAAAGAGAAAATGACATCCTTTCAAAGCATAGTTACGCACTTGGAATCAAAGGTATGCAACCCTTTCTACAAGAATTTATTGTTGTAACTTTCATTCAATTTTTTAAAATTATTTCCACGTTTTACAGAAATACTCTGCAGACTCCAAATTGACTCCAATTCAAAAATCAGAATGTTTTGCCCTTAACAAACTGCTAGAGGGAAAACTACATCCTGCCATTCTTTACACTTGGTAAACATTTCGTGTGAGCGCTTGCACAATAGTTTTGAAAGATAATTGAAAGGTGTTTTTTAAAATGAAATTTCAGGTGGGTTGATGAAGCAAATTATATTGAACTTACCCGACCATGGTATGCAACTGTTTTACCATTCCCTTACAATTATTATTACCCTGGCCGTTATGAGCGGGATGCAAAGAAATACATAGAAACTATGTTTGTGGATGACGAGGATATGTCCATCATAGAAACTCATGTAAGTTGTGTTTGCAGTAGTAAGTAGTAAGTAACTTTAAAAGATTGGAACTGACTTGCTAAACTTTTGTCTTTGCTTTGTTAGTTACTTTCAGATGCTGAAAAATGTTTAACATCCTTGTCTGTCAGATTGGGTGAAGAAAATTTCTTTTTTGGTAAATCCCCCACGTCCTTGGATGCTATTGTTTATTCCTACATTGCTCCTCTGGTGAAAGTTCCATTTCAGCAGTGCCCTCTTCAGAACCATTTAAAAGCTTGTCCCAACTTGATGGCTTTTGTAGCAAGAATTACGAGGGGCTATTTTCCTCTAGTGTCCGATGGTTTGTTGACCTTAAAATTTTCTTAAGCTCAAGTATAGTTGTATCGTCAATGCAGTTTTTTAGGAATTCAATTTTAATAAATTTTCCAGCTACCAAGAATGTAAATTTGGAGAAAGCAATAGAAGTAGAGCGTCGGAATAAAAGGATAAGAACTGCTCTGAGTTTTGGTTTTGCTGTTGCAGCAATGACTGGCTTTGCGTTATACAATAATATTTATCAGGTAAGTTTAAATTTTGTGAAAAATATTTTATTTGAAGTTTGGTGTGAGAAATCAATGGAAGATGTCTTGACAATTGCAGGAAGCCAGACTTGGAAGGCGATTTGCAACAAAGTGAGTGACCCATTGTGGACTAATTCTTACATAATGAGACAGATGTTTACAAATTTTAGCATGTTCTGACCAAACAAACTGGTACACCCTATTGTTTTTTTTTTTGTTTTTTTTTCACTTTGCAGGTTGGAAAGGATGAAGGACAGATGGCGGGGAAGGCCCTTGGCTTTAGATTTCTTTGAACATGGTTTTGAAGAAGAATAAGAATTTGACCAAATTTTGTTTATTCAATCTAAGAGTACTCGTCGTTGAGCTTCAGAAATTTACCAAAATAAAGTGTTATGCAGAAACAAATTGTGCTTCTTGCTTGTTACAGAATCATTTTTGTTTCTTTTTGAAATGAAATGATAAAATTGTCATTTTTTTTGGAGTCATTATGTTTTGAATGGAATTCCTGTGAAGGGTGGTGGTTTTGGCATGTCTCTAGTACCAAGGAGAATTTGTTCTGCCAGCCAAGTTATGTGAGACTTTTGATGGGCATGGTATAAACGTGGGTCAAATTTTTGAACTGGCTGCAATTCTGGATACCATCCGTATCTGATCAATGAGACAGATTTCAATAATGATCACCTGACATTACATGCCATTATCACCTCCATAGTTACCGCTGATTTTCAGTGGTAGGATGTTCACTCTGATCTCTTGGTCCCTTAGTGCTTTGTTCTTTTATCATTTTCACAAAATTTTGATCTGCTTTCTCTTTACACATGACATCGTGCTTGGCATAGGATTTTCCAGTGATACATTCAGCTGTGAAGCAAAAAATGTAATTACAGTAGAATCTTTTTTTAACTCCTCCTGGTCTGAGAGAATATGTACCTTTCAAGTTGGGAACAAACTTAGTGCGTATATAAAAAAAACGTTTCTCCCGTTCATAAACTTTCTTCCATGCCAAATAGTCAGTTCCTAAGTCAACTTTTCTTTTCTCCTGAGCCATGATGATAGATTGCCCACAGCTGAACTGAAATTATTGCCAATTAGTGCACTCAGGAATTTGGATAGTTGCTATGGATCCCTCCAACAATGCAGTTTCATGGCATTGGGAATATGCAGTCATAAGTTCCTCACTGTCTTTCAAACATGGAAGGTATAATAAGACTCAATTCGAACCAATGGGAAGAGGATGAATGAGATGCACCATGTAACACGTCTCTTTATTAACTTCCGTCAGAGAGAGCTATATCCTGAACCTGACAGTCATTAGGTTTAAAAATAGAGAGCAGGGTACAACATCAGATTAACCCTTTAGGACTGGGGGTCCGCCCATTGTAACAAGCCACGTCCAAATGAGATTTCTGACCCTGACTATGCATGCATGCACGGGCAAAAAGGAGGCATCCAGATGGACGGACCTCCGGACCTGGATGGCAGCATACACTAAGATTTGTCAAGGAAGTAGCTTTTGTGCGATTCATTGTAATACAATTTTAAGCTCAAGACAGGACAGTCACATTGATTATGATATATGATGGTGCATTAGACAAAAATGACAAGTCAGATCTGAAAGACCATCTATGTCTTAAATTACAGAGGTAGATAAGTCATTCTTATCTTACAAAAATTTATGTTCCAATAGAGATAAAGGAAAATTCTCAAATTACTTATAAATGAGTTTCATTAATGCTGAGGCCATTAGAAATAAGATTAACATTGAAACTATAATTTAGTAAGCTCAGAAGCAAAGTAAAAAGACTGGATAGGACAAAATCCAATGAAAATTTCTCTTCTTGACAATCGTCATTCAAACCCCAATGAATACAACATGTACATCATCCTTAGAATATAAAATAAAATTTAAAATAAAAAACTTAAAAAAAGCCCAGGTGTCATCCATTCAATTACTCAATCTACCCCACAACGCAAAATTTGTACAATTGTACAGACTTAAACCTCTTCAAACAAATGAAGGATTTCTACTTTTCCTACAGTGCGTGGCAACGGCAGCGGGGTATTTGAACTTTAGCTTCCTTTTCTAAAATGTTAAGTGGCAACTGGATTTTGACTAGAAAAGGGGGAATCCCCAGAGGCAATTAAAATAATCAAACTAAACTTGCATCATGGACAAACTGTATCAATAGAGAAATAAAGATGAGGATGGCACCAATGGCACTCAGGACATGGCATGTGCCTCAAAACAGTTGCTAATGGAAGCTACTTAACATCACCCTTTAATACAGACAAGCTCAGTCGGCATAATTGTTACTTTTTAAGTGTTGTACAAAAGAGGGGATAGGATAAAATAATTGTAAAACCAAACCAATTGTAAACGGGAACAACAACTTACAAAAGCATAGGCTCAGACACACTTGAATAAGAAATATTAATAATAATAACGCCATCAAGACTGCCTCAAATTTTAATAACTAATACTTCTTACTAGCGAGTTTAAACAAGATAAAGCTTTTCTTATAGACTTGTCTGTGAAGTTTTAGAAATAATGGAAGCCTTGGACTTCAGCTTCCAATCTGGAAGTTGGCGCTTCAGTCATGTACCCATGAAAAAACTGTGGCTTTCTCAATAGAATCCCATCTACTTTACACATAGACGAAGGCGCACCCTTGTTTCCGGACCTCAAAATTGGCTTCACCAGTGCGACTTAGAACTGAATGAATGCCGTCCATAACTTTAACAGTCAATTCATCATGGACACATTAGACAAAACAATGCACATCAACAAAACAGTTACCATCTTTGAAACTACAGGATACAAACATTATTTTCATGAAGGTGGGCAGGACAATGACTTGAAGAAAAAAAACAAAACAAAAAAACAAACTAATCTATCATCAAAGCAAATTTTTAAGCAATTATGCAAGCAGCATCCTCATCACAGCAGTTAAGACCTCTTACTTAAAAACATACTATCACATTTTCATCACACATCAAGTTAAGCAAATTAAACCAAGTTTACTAAATTAATTATTAACACAAAATTAAGTGCACTACGGCACCAAAATGTCTCAAGATGAAAAGGAACGGTATAGGCTAGAATAAGCTGTTCAAACTTGAACTGCGATACCACAAAATAAGCAGACTCCAGCTGTTACGTAATCGTTCAGAAGTTCGAAACCTTTAAATGTCCTAAAAACATGTCATACAAAGATTCCATACTAAACAAATGAGTTTTAAAAAATTGCAAAAGTTCAACTGTTTAAGCAAAATTCTTAAAATGATTAAAAAAAAAGTTTATGGGCAAAAGTATAAGGAACAGCACCTTACAGTATGGAAACCTTCTGCCTGTGGCCCCATGGAGGTTTTATCCTCTGTATCACAGAGTTCTCATTCGCATTCGACTGCTCAGCCCATTCCAATATTATTATTATTATTATTACCACTGTTTGAACATCATTGTTAACAATGCAAATGACAGCAGGTAAATGTACAAAATTGATGAAACAGCAAGAACTTTTGTGAACTTCTTTCTTTTACAAAATACCACTTAATTATGGACAACTTTATCTAAGTAGAAAAAGGCAATCATACAAAGAATAAAATTTACCAAGAACATCCCTTTAAGTAGCCTTACAGTAAGAAAAGGTAATAAAACTCAAGCGCATTACAAGTAATGTAATGACAAAGTTGAAGAAAATACTCAAAAGCAGTAAAAAAACGAGTCTTCACTGAGTTTACATTGGTAAGTATTTGACAGCTATAACTTGTTCTGTCAACTTCAGGCTGTTCACTCTTTTGAACATCTTATCAATTAAGTCATAATCAAATACAGTAGCTTTGCAGCATTGATCCATTTTGATCCAATATAAAATAAAAACATTAATATAGTGGTCAATTTGAGCTTTCTATCCAGGAGATTGAGTTTAATAATATACAGAAATTCTTGCTCCACAGTCTAATTAATGAGCTTGCAGGTAGGCAATTGCCTCAAAAGAATACAAAAACATTCAAATGGTGTAGACCTAACATTCTGAAATTCATGACTCCTTAACAACTCTAACTGAGCACAGTTCATAAAATCTGACATGATCAATTACTTCACCATAAAAATCTCTCAAACTTTAAAATAAAATAGGGTTTGTGAACAATGTGAGTACAGTATGCATCACAGTTTAATACGTAGCAAGTACTGCGCCACACAGGATGGGCAGGCATGCTGGAAAACGGCATCTTCACCATCAGAGAGGACACCAGCCAACGCTGAGCCCTCTGTTTGTGCTGCTGCAACCTCAGCATTATAGTCATGCCAATTTAATTGATGACCACAGGAAAAAGCAACGATGTTGTTGTTGTCCAGAGAATCCTGTTTTCAAGAAAGTAGATTAGGTTCTTCTGAATTCCAACAGGCATCTCTAGAGCCATCAATGACTTACATGAAGTGGTTCAATATGGAGGGCTCTTCTGCCTGCTGCATTAGTAGTTAAATGTTCAACTAGTTGATCCATGGTCACTCCAGATGTGTCATTTGACGGTTTCCATAAACCTTTTTGAGACATCAAGCGCATCAGCAGAGTATTTAACTCAGAACACTCGCCTTCTAAAGGAAAATAAGCTAGAGTTAGCAATGTTGGAGACTCAAACAAGTAATTGATACAATTCATTGAGGACTTACTGTTTTTCAGCTGGGTTACCATCGAAGAACATAATTTCATCATGAAGCATGTTGACAGAGATTCGATGAGCTTCTCACTCCCATCCAAATCAGAGCTGAAAATGAAATGCTCATTTAGACTTCAACACACATTGCAGCAAGTAACTACTACCGTAAAATAGAATTGAAGACACCATACCAAAATATCAAATTTGCAAAAGGATATGCCAATTCTTTCCAATGCTGCTGTAGTAGTTGCTCAAGAATAGAAGATGGTATATTCTCTTTAACCCAAAATGTGACAATCTAAATAGAAAATCAAATTAAATAGAATATAATAAAACAGAGGTTCACTCACAATGCCACCATATGAACAAACATAAATTTTAAAATTTGAAATGTACATTTACCTTTTGCAATAGCAGTGAGGTTACTGACTCATCCTGTTCCTCCTCCTCCACTAAATTCATATGCAACTGAATAAGTCGGAATATTTCATGCTGCAACCAGCCATATTGCTTTGCTTGCTTTATGTCCTGCTTGTCAACATGATTTCCATCCTCTGTGACTGCATTGTTCTTTTCCTCATTTGATTCCTTAGTTATATCGACCTGGGAACCAGATTTAGGTGGGGCAATGTCTTGTTCCTCCAAACTTACAGAGGCCATACTTGATGTTTCATCTGAAGGCTGCTGATTGGATTTGGTATTCTCAGAATCAGTCCCCTCAGACATTTCTTCGTTGCCGCCTTGCACAGCAAAAGCATGCATTTCAGAATTATCACTTTGAGACGATCCACCATTTTCATCATTCAAAGTAGCTGTTGATGATGAAGTATGTTCTGATGTGTCGCTTGAACCTTTAACAGGTGAGTCCTGTTGATCCTCAAGTTTCAGATTCCCCATGGGGGAGGGTGACTTCATCTTAGACATGGTGTTAATATTTGTGCCTGTGAGTGACTTCTGGTTCCAGGTTCGGATGAAAGCATCCATATGATAACCAAGAGATGCTGGGATATTTTTAGCCAGAAGGGAAAGGCGTCCAGCAGCCTGCAGGTTGCCATGCTGCAAACTCTGAAACATGCAATAAAAATATTAAACAAATGAGTAAAATAAATATCTTAGGCTTGAGAAGGGTTATGATGACGGAAATGAATTACCTTATGCAGTAATGATCCGGAGCTGTAATAAGGGAAGAAACGGTGTAATGCCCAATGCAGAGTCAGTGAACCGTATGGTGGCTGCTCAACGGTAGCCAATTCAGTTGCCTGCAAAATAGTAACAATTTTTTAATGATAAAATTTTACGCTCTATCATGTGACCAACTTTTGGAAACAGATAGCTTACCCATGCAGCCGCAGGCGCAGCACTAAGTGTAGCACTAGAATACGCAGGAGTGGGGCTACTAGGTGGAATCCCCTGAATCTCTTGAGGGCTTTCAATTCGATTATTTGCACTGTTAGGGATTTTTATCACTCGTTTGGAAGTATTTAACATGATTGTCTTTCCCTCTAAACCCTTGTTGGGCTCTTTTTGAGGCATCCGACCAATCTAAAGGTGAAAAATTTAATAGGAATATTAGAAAATCTTGGGGTGGAAAATCTGTGAGAGGAGAAAATGTAGTTTGTGAAAACTTACCTGTGCAGTTGCATTGCTTCCCCATCCGAATACTTGCCCATCGGCATGCAATGCTAAAGTAAAGTCAGCACCACAAGCAATTTGTGCAGCTCGTAAGTCAGGCACAAGAGTAGGGATAGCAGTTTCTTTTCGACCACTATGTCCTAACTGTCCATCAATATTACGTCCCCATGTATACACCCGGCCTTCCTCCGTCACAAGAGCAGAGTGATGACACCCACAAGCAATCTGAAGACAATTCACAATAACAAAGTGAAGCAAATTTGAGAAACATTCATACAGAGGAAAACATAGCACATGATAAATACCTCAGCAATCAAGCCTTCAACCAGAGACGTGTCAACAAGGGCTGGCAAAAGATGACTTTGAGATGTCTCGGCATCCATATTTACCGAAGGAACAATTGGCCTTTCAACTGGAGGAACTGGAGCACTCACCTAAAAAAGGTACAAGATTCTGGTGACACCTGTTCATATTTATGCAACTTGATGCAAAAACGAATCATTGCCTTACTGGAGTCGATGCAGCTAGTTTGACAGTGTGAACTAAGTCAACAACAACTTTGGGTACTGCCTCTGCCAATAAATCAGGGATAGGGAGTGCAGCTTTAGCAAGGACTTCAGTTTCCTCATTCTCCTGTGACTGTGAATTTGTGGAAACAGCTTCTGTGTCAGGACTGGTACCATTACTTGCTGCTTGTGGCTGGCAAAGTTCTGTGGCAGGAAACATGCATGTTGCATTCAAAGGATCGATAAATATGTCTTGTGGCCCATTCAAACGAACATTGTTGGTAACTTTTGAGTATGGAGGACTTTCAGATTTGTCAGATTCTTGAGTGGCAACATCTGACTGGTTTTCAGAAATTTCATCAGTGTTGTCTTGACAGTCTCTCAATGTTATTATTTGGAATTGATCATCTTGTGTATCTCCGTTAGAATCCTGATCTTCACAAGTGAGTTTCTTGGAATCTTTTTCACTAAGCTGTTGCTGTTTCTGCAATTGCTGTTGCTGCTGCTGTTGCTGCTGCTGCAGGATTTGTTGCTGTAATAACATTCTCGCCTTCTTTTGGGCCTGTGCTTGCATACGTAACACTTGTGGACTGGAGCCCCACACATACAATCTGTTTGATTTACTGATAGCCAACTGCAAAAAAATTTAGAGAAGAATTAAAACCTGTTGAAATTGGCAACAAAGAAAGCAAGAAAGATGATCTTACATTGTGAAAATAGCCAGTTGCGATTGTAGTAATACTTTCAGGAAGATTGCACACTGGAGTCGGCAAACTGCTTTTGATGTTGTTACCAGTTCCTAATTGTCCAAATACACTTGAACCACATGCAAAGACCTGACCAGAGCTTAGCAAGAACAAACTATGAGCATGGCCTCCACCAATTGCATTTACAACCTGAAATTAAATTAAAATTGAAATGGTGAGCCAGAAGATACTACACACACTCATAAAAACTGTTCTAAAAATTTAAGACTTACTTGGCCATTAAATGCTGATATTATTCTTGGAACTGGTTGATTTTCAACAGAGCCATGTCCAAGTTGACCATGAACACCCCATCCCCAAGAAAATACTCTAGAAAATGCAATAAATTTCTGTCTTACAAATACAACAATATCATGCGTAAAGTATAAATACTGTAAATGCCTGAAACGCCTGAAACTGTTCTTACCTGCCTGTTGAGGTAAGGGCCAGAGAGTGATACTGCCCAGCTGATATTGCAACAATTCTATGATCCAACAGTGATGTCATTAGCCTTGGGTAGGGAGACTGGACAATATTTTCAAGTCCCAATTGGCCATAAGTAGATGAACCCCAAGAATATAGCTACAAAAAAATTTAAAACATGTGATGAAACACGAAACCACATCTACATTCACAAATCTAATGTACCATTACTTACCCCATTTTCTGTCAGAGCCAGTGTATGATTTTGCCCACAAGCCACACTAAGCACATGTGTTCGCAGTGAATTAAATGTCAGAATTGGTCGAGGCTGGCTCAGGCGGTTCATAGTTGGTCCCATCCCTACACATCCATGGTTGTTACGGCCCCATGTAAAGAGTCCAGAGTTTCTAACTAAAGCAGCATGGCCATAACCAGCTGACAACTCACAAGTAACTAATGATAAAACTTCCACTCCCTGTAATTTGACATAATAATTTTAAAGAGCGATTTTCATAATAACAAATTTGGCGCTTTGAACAGTTGTCATAAAATTTCACCTGAGATGGTGGAGAATCATTAGTTCGCTTTGGTAATCGAACAACACTGGCAGCAAGATCAGGCTTGTATTCAAAATCATGGCTTTTGTGCCAAATTTGGAACAGTAGCAGCATAAATGTCATGACCAGGTCCTCCATCACTGCTACATTCTCCTTCAAAAAACAAAATAGTATGTAAATAAAGCAAACAATTAAAGTCTTTAATGCAAAAAGAATGGCATGAGAAGAAAAGAAAAACTTACAGACACTGCTACAGTTGGCTCAACAAAATCACTAGAGTAGGAGCTGACAGAGGCACTATCAAAGGAAACAGACAACTCTCTTTCGTTGCTGCCTTCCCGTGACCGAGTGCTCCTAAATAACTGAAGAAGACCAGGACGAAGAGCCGGATGTGTTGGATCATAAAGAGCAGCAAGACGCTGTAACCAGTTCCCCAAAACGGTAAAAAAAAACAGGAGCAAGCAAAATAATTTTTAGAACAGTAAGTTTTCAACCTTACCTTCAAAACATCCAACTCTAAATGACCAAGGCAAGACTTAATAAAACTAGAATGGATACGAACAAATTGAGGCCTCTGCAGAAAAGCCTCCCTAAGACAGCCTTCACTTACAGATTCCCAAAATCCCGCTGTCAACACAAAAGCACAAGAATGATGCAGCTAGAATTTGAAAGATACACATGAGTACAGTTAAAAGAAATGAAAACCTACTTTGAGTCATCAAAAGAAGCTGTTTCTGTTTCTGAGTTACATCACATTCAGACAAAGCATGGGACATCATCTTTGCTTGGGCTTCTAAAACTTCAGGGAGGAGCCCACGATAACAAGCAAGTTCATTAAGAAAGGGCCATAAATGGTTTTGACCAAAAATATTCACAGCCATTTGCTCGTCATAATATTGGTTCAACTTTAAAAATTTTCTGCAGAAAAAAAAACTGTTACTTACGAGAACTTAAAATGGAAATTGAAATACAATGATAGAAGCAGTGACACACTTACATAAAACCACTAAATAATTGAGGGGATTCGGTAGATAGGTACTGCTGAGCTTGGCAGAGGACAGCAAGATTTGAAAGCTGACAGCGTTCCACAGGATTAGCATCCTGAGAATTAGCTGTTAGAGCACCCTCCTGAAGGGCAATCAATAGCTGGCCAGAATGGCCGCCAGCAGCAAGCTTCACAATCCACTTGATTTGTCGGCACTGTTGACAAGAAGAACAATTTGTCTTTGTTAAGATATGAAAATACAAACAAACAATAAATTTACTTTGCCAAAGAAAAGAGCAACCTACTCTGGCTAACTTGTACAGTTCAATGGCTTTGACATAACATCCTTTGAACAATTGTATGTCACCTGCCAGCTCCAGCAATCTTTGCAGGTCAAGTACAAACATTCGTGATAATGATTCAGCACATAATAACTGGCCTGCTTTATCTGGGTCCACACCTAGAAGAAAGTCAGCTCAGATATACTATGTGAAGGTTACATTGTGGATTTTGAATCAAGTCCAACATTACTTGGCATCAACAGACGAGACCCCCTAGACACTGCTGAACACACACTGGAGATGAATAAAAGACACCACTGTACTGACCTGCAAGAAGGTGATTCAGAACCTTCCTCACTGCACATTGCTTCAGGACAACGTGGTAAATACTATGACTGGTGACAACAATGCAAGTGTCTATGGCTGGTCCTCTTAAACGTTCCACCTCTTGATCAAGCCATTGCTCATGTGACTTAGGTGCCTCTTTAGCAGATTTTGCTGCAGTGTTCTTCAAAACATAAAATAAAGAAGAAAATACTATTAATAATATTACCTTAGTGAAATTTATATGCTTAAGTAGAATCAAAAGAAGTTTTACCTCTTGATGTAAGTATTTTGAAGATTTAACATTTAAACCACTTGCAGAGACCACTGGTACAGAACCGCCTTGATACGTTTTGGAGTGTGAAACTTTATACAGTGCGATGATTCTTTCCTCTCCAGGGAACTCAAATGAGTCAACGACTGATTCTGGACTAAGTTCCTGTACAAAATTAAAGTTTTAAAGGATGAAACTCCATCCACCACTTTCACTGAAGCAGAAAGAGGAATTTTCATTTCTATGTTCTTACCAAATCATCATGCCTCCTGCATTCAGATAATTTACTTGATACTACAGAGAAGCGCTTAGCTGTTGTGTCAGTCAAATAAAGGAAACGTTCAGTCACTAACATATCTCGACACGGAAAAGACAACTTGTGACCATAAGCAGGAGGCTGCTCTAAATCCTTTATTTTGTACATCTGTAAAAATGAACAGATTCAGTTAGAATTCAAATTGTGCCCTATGCCAGCATAATAAAAGTAACAGTCCTTACAGATACAAAGCTGGATTGTGCATGATATGCGGAAAGAACCTCGCGGCCCCTGAGTGTCTGGGGCCATAAGAATGCATTTACTATCCATCGCAAATTTTCAACTTGAGGTGCAGAGTTACTATTGGGAGTGGAAGCATCAGAGCTGCGCGCTGAGCCATCACTACTGCCACTTCCTGCATCACATAATTAAATTAACATTCTACACAGAACCCTATCTCAGGAATTTATAGGCAACTTTTCATGTAAAACACACCTCTTCTACTTGTCACATTAGAACTTGTAGAAAGATTAGATGTAGTGGTTTTGGACCGTGTTTCAGCAAGCCGCTGTCTGATGATTGCTAATTTCTCCACTGACATTTGTTTCAAACCTTGAAGTCTTGACCTAGCAGATGGAGCTGGTGAGAGACCATTCATCTCTTCCCTACAATGAAATAACAAAACCAAACCATAAATGACATCTTACTCTATGTATCATCCAACATTTCACAAAAACAAAACTGACACTGTGACTTAAAAAGGCTAACCTCATCAATGATCGACTAGAACCACGTCCTGGCTCTTCAGGCCAAAACCAGCTACCATCCCTGTCTTCTAGAAGAACTCGCCATTGTTGACGATCTTCGCAAGTCATCTAAAAATCAAAATGCAAATGGGTGTAAGATTACTGTTTGGTACCTCCCAAAGTTTAAAATTAACTTTGATGCAGAAAGCATTTACCAAAAGGTATGCAGAGTCAGAATTGTCATGGCAAATATGAAGCATTGATAGAGAGCCAGAAATTTTCCGAGTTCCAAGACGTTGTCCAGTATTGAGATTTATTAAGGCTATATCGCCTGATTCTGTACCAACTAATCCCATCTGTAACAGAAAGATTTGAGTTAGTTGGCCTGCAAAGGCTAACCTTTTCAGTGCTGTATTCATGAAAGAATGCTTTGGCACGTGTACCTGATGTCCTAAGGCAGTGCTTTGCCACCACACACAGCATGTTGGCGGTGAGTTAGTAACAGATGGAAACGTAGTCAGGTCTAAGGGATTCCAGCTCTGGTCAGAGACTGATTTAGGGTCCACTAATGATAATGTAGGAACTATATGTAGAAATCCATCCCATCCTAGGAGCATGAAAAGAAACCTTGTAAATTGTGTATTTTAAAACTTGAAAATAGATTTCAAAATAAAACTATACCTGTGGCTAAAAGCCATGAACCAGCTGGGTCAAAAGCTAAAGATGTTATCCTTTTTTCTCTCTCCAAAAACCATGGTACTCTTCGTAATACTGCTGGTGCTTCTCCATTAGTATAATACAGAATGAGATCACCATTCCTAAGAACAGAAAATTATATAGGATGAAAAGTGAAATCAAAATAAGTGTATAAGGCTCATGAAAAATGTCTCACTGATACTTACTGAGTAACTAAGGCAATAATTTGTCTTGTATTTGCTTGAGAGCGAGCACTCAGTTGAATGTTTTCGACAGCAAGGATACGTTTGAGTTCAAATACTTGTTGCCCTTCTGTGGCACCCATCGCGTGGGGCCAGCTGTAAAAATTCCAAACCACAACAGCGTTAAAGAAAGGCGCTACTAAATAATCATAAAGCTCAAAGACGTATAAAATATGACAGTTGGTTATGTAACATGCAATTTAGAACTTTTCAAGGGGTGAAAAAAGGGAAGGGGCAAACCAAAATCAGGGGCTCTTTGTTAGACATAGAAACCTTGGCAAGGACACAACACAGGCGGAAAAATGATGAGGGAAGGAACAAATAGATAAATTATTTCAAAGATGTAAGATTAACTGAATGACAATGGGTGACAAATTTTCATCTCAATTGACAACAGTGTTAGAGAAGAGCAATGGTATGCCTGACATGATATCACTAAGTAAAAGTGGACATACAAAATTAATTGACAAGAAACATATCAAGTAGAAGACAACATCAGTATGAATACATAACCTTTCTGTCACATTTTGGAGTGAGGTAAAAACTAAAATGTTATTAAACGACAAGCCTAACAGAAATTAAATGGAGCTCAGGCCGCACACAACTGTTTACCTTTTAAATCACCCAAGACAATCCAGGACGAATGTTTACCCAGGTTTTCTTCAAAAGACTTCTAGACTGAGCAGACATCTTTTGTCTCTAAATTTAACGTGGAGGGTGGCGCACTCTAGCGGCAGTGATCAAAACAGTTCGATACATCGACGTCCGTGTCGTTATCTTTCGATCCATCGTTCGTTGTTCGAGTCCGCAGTCCGCGCTTTTAAAACTGTAAACACACGAAAACTAGAAGTGTGAATTTCGTGCTCCGTGCTGTCTGCCTCACTCTTAGTGACTTCCTCCTTGTAGTCTCAATCAACAATGTCACTAGATACTATTCCTAAAGATTTGCGCCACCTGCGCGCTTGTCTTAGCTGTTCACTTATCAAGGTTTGTGTGCAATGTTAGGTTATAACCAGTCTTAAATCTTCATTTGCACAGCTTTCTTTTGATTTTGTAAGGCATGGGTTATTATTATTTTATTCGTCATTAACTTTATTTTGTGAGATTTCTCCATCTATTACGGAGTTTACTTTCATTCAAGACGGCTTGAAGTTTCTTGTTCAACTGACAGAAATCTGTGTTTACTTCGTGAAATGAGCTAAGGCATCTCTTCTCTTTTTCAGAATGTAGAGCAATTTGAAAATGATGGTTGTGAAAATTGTGACGAATTTCTTCACATGAAGAGTGACCGGGAAAAAGTTTTTGTCTGCACTAGCAACAACTTTGATGGGTTTGTATCAGTCTTTCTCCGAATAATGTTGTTGATTTGTAAGAGCTTTGTATGATTATAGTTCTTTGTGTGCAGGATGATTTCTCTCATGAGTCCTGATGACAGCTGGGTGGCTAAGTGGCAAAGAATAAGTAAGTCTGAGGTTTCTTTTTACACCGTCTTATTGTAATGGTGGAGTTAAGTTGTACCATTATCTTTTAACTTTTCTTACAGATCGATTTAACAAAGGTATTTATGCTATATCTGTGTCTGGAAAGTTGCCACCAGTTGCGATTCGAGATATGAAGAACAGAGGAATATCTTACAAGTCGAGAGATAACAGTACTCGGTAGGCTCCTCAGTTTTTTTCCTATGTATCTCTGCTGCTCAGGTTTTTATTTAACCAATGTATGTGAATTTTACTGATCTCAACATAAAATAAAGTATGAAGAATTTCAAAAGCATATTTGTCATTTCTGTGCTTTCAAGCACTTGCGCTTATTTAATTAACATGGCACTTGCAGAGAAAGTAAAACCAATACAGTTGGTAAAAAATATCACATATATTGTATTTAAATTTCAATGATCAGGGTTAAAATCATCTTCACCAATGCACAGCTGAAAATGAACTGTAACTACAGTACAGTGTAGAACACACATCGATTGCACAAAGACTTGTTACAAATAACTGAACAGCATCAGTCTTACAAATCTCTTACAGATATTTAGTACAATTCATACCCAATTTTGACAACAGGAAATATCACAGAGTAGTAATTATTATGTGCGCCAATACTGGGCAATTTTGTGGAATTTCTCCACCATAACTGCAATGACAGCTGTCACAGACAGATCCAAGACAGTTTGCATGTAGTGCACTGCTTCTTCATCACTCAGGTCAAGTCTGAGTTTATCCTGAACTTTCTTGACTGCTTTGTCAGGTTCTAGGGCAATGTCAGGCACACTGGCATCAACCATTAGAGAGAACAAGTTCAAAATAAGATTTGCATGCCTGTTAGGAAAAACAAGAAGAAATGGTGCAAACAGGTGCTGATAGATGATCAAACATAGTTAACATGATAGTATGTCCAAACCTGCGTAAATGTAGAAATGCTGTATAACATTGCTTGCGAAATTCATGGTAATGATCAGACTCTGTTCCACCCATAGCTTCAACCATTTCCTTGCTAAGCTTAATTGGTGGAGGAAGTGGCTTAGGATCTCTCCCCAAAATGAAGCCAAAATCAATGTGGAATAGTTTTCCATCTGATGTAAGGAGAAGGTTGTCCAGATGCCGGTCACCAACTCCAAGGATATATGTTATCACACAATAACCAGCTAAAAATTTTTTAAAAAAATAAAAAATTATTGAACAACTTAGATATATGTACATTGAGTAAAAGAGAGCTGATGAAAGTCTTAAAAAATAATCTTACCACAACTTCTAACATAATTGTCAATTATTTCTGGCTGGATTCCATAAGGAGCACTTTCCATAGGATGGTGCTTTCTGAAGAAATTCTGAATTGATCCATCAGAGGCAAGAACCTCCGCAACAGGCAGGGAGTCAATGAATTGCACAAAGCCTAAAAAACAACAGGAGAAACCATAAGAATTCTGATTTAAAATTGTACTAGAAATCATAAACATTTATCATACCATGTTTAGTGCTGGTGGCCAAGACACGATATGGTGTAAGCTTCAAATCTAAGTTTTCTCGCCGAAGAAGTTTGTCCATGAGTGATATGCTCTGTAGAATGAGCTGATCCTGACGAAGGTCATCTCCATGTTTGAATATGGCAACATATTCAGTGTTGTCAGTTGTAAGGAATGTTAAACGAGATGGCATTAGAGCAGACTTAAATAATGTTGCTCTGAAAGCAAAAATAAATTATACTACGGGGGTAGATTGTACAGAGAACAGATAATTGTTTTAGAAAGTACTTTGATCTGACACTTACGATTCAGCCACAATACCTTTGATATAAATATCTGGATTTAGTGGAAATGGCAATGGTTCAATGTTGGCAAAGTTAATCATAAAGGTTTCAGAGTCTACAAATAATGATTGTAGACGCTCAATCTAATCAGGATAAAATAGCTCAGTTAGTTAACAACACATTTAAGTTATTGATAAAAAGACATACTACTCTCTAGTGATAGGCTGAACACACCTTTTTGGTACGGTTGCCACTTTCACGAGCAACCATTTTTACAAGTTTCACCAGTTCAGTGATAAAAATTTGTTGCCGAGCTAAAATAATGCGACGTTGTTGGCAATCTTTATTTCCTCTCTGTAATGTCTGCAACACAAGCAAAATTTTGAAAAATACACAAGTGAGGAAACATTTCATGTACACAAACAGCCAGAGATGAGGAATAATCTCAGTAAACAAACATACTTGCAGGAAAGTCTTCTTAACAGTACAATACATTTCTCTTGCAGGGTTGTCTTGATAAATACCTCCATCATGCTCCTTCTCGTGGGACTCACTCTCAGTAACAAGATACCTAAAATATTAGAGTTTCATATGAAAGCTGCATCAAGATCATAATTCATGACTCTCACATATTTTCACAAGGCAATGTCTCACCAAAAGAAGTAATTTGCCAACGTCATGTTTTGGCAAGCTCTGTAGATAAGAAAACTTGCTAAATTATCAGCTGAACTCGAGCTGATGTTGATGCAAGAAGCTACATGTGACTTCTCCAAATCTACATCAACAGCACTGCTGCAAAAATACAGGAAATTCATAGGTTTAGAATTGAAAGCAGAACCCACAACTCTCCTTCTCACCCTTAAACAGAATAATAATTAATTGATAAATGAGTTTGATACCTGGCACTACACTCGCACACAACAGAGGGAGCTTCCTTTTCTTCCTGAGATCCATAGGAATTCACAACCCGTGAATAGCCTGCATTTATTTCGTCAAAATTTTCATATTTAAGAGCTTGCACTAGTTGGAGTAGGTATAAGAGCAGATCCTGTTAATAAAAGACATAATTTACCAGTCATATATAATATTAAATTTTAAATCAACAGATAATCATGCTTTGTTCATACCTCATCTGGTGCCTGCTGTAAACGAGACACTGCATAACGCCGAACTGCTGGATGCGTGAACTGTGGGCTCAACAGCTGTAAAGCATCTTCAACATCCATGGGTACCCACATTTCCAACATGCTCAGAGCCTGTCTCACTTCAGCATGGAGTTTCCAATTTACACACAGCAAAAATTTGGTGAGAGCCTAAAACAAAAATGAAGACATTAATAACCCAAAGGTAAGTTTTAATTCAGGCTGCTTTCAGCTTCACTAAAATTGTAGTATTACCTTTTTTTGATTGCTAAGATAAAATCGGAATCGCCATACAAGGTCTTGTTCTTCTGTTGTCAGAACTTTAGTAGGAGGGTAAGCAACTATGTTATGCAAATGGTCACGGACAGTTGCATTGGGCTTTGCATCTTTGTCAGACATTCCACTTCGCAAACTACGAGCAAGTTTATGATGTTTGCTCTCCACAAGGTTTTCCTAAATCACATTTTAATGTACAGATAAGCTAAAGACTTAAATGAATAAAAATGTCTACACAAAAGAAGGCAAATTACCTCTAGTATTTCATGATCTGGTACAGTAACAATTTCTGGTTGAGTTTGGAATGGGTAAATGTTGTCGGCATCTGGTTCAAAGTATACAACAGAATGCTGGAAAATACATGATCAGTTAGGATCAGTGCCAAAACTTTAAGTTGAAGTTTTTGTTTTGAAGGTAACTTACAGGGTTACCAGCATGTTTCAGCTGAGGAAATTCCACCATCAAGTACAGAAAGTCAGAGCTACGTTTCTCTCGCTCATTGATAACTTCCATCTCTCTAAATGACAAACGGTCTAACCAATCAACTTTTGGTAAGTAACCATTTCTATGCCGTTTAGACAACTGAAATGAAAAAATCAGAAACCATGATGATTACTTGTATTGAACCAACCAGGAGAGCATCATGTTGAAAACTATCCAAGCTTGACTAGAGCACTCTGGCTCCAGGCATGACATACCTTGGAAAGTCGCTGCATCTGTTCCTTACCATGGCTGCGAGCCTTACCAGGAGTAGAACTTGGTGAGGAGCCGTCAGCCACACGATCAGGCCACACTCGCAGGTCTAACATACCCTGAGACAGAGTAAAATAAGCAACTGAGTGATTGGAAAATATGAGACAGAACTTTCCAACGAAAGTTATTACACATGCTGAAAATGATAATTATTCAAACCTAAGAAAGCAGAGAATACATTCTTACTTGTCGGAAAACACCATGATTTCCAAATAACATAACAGTTGTCCCTCCAACTGGCTGCAGCTTGCAGGGTCCAACACAGTCATAAATCGTTAGGGCTAACTGTGCATCTCGAGGCAAATCACAGAACATGACAGGAAGTACAACCCATTCATTCCAGCTGGAAATAGAAAGTGGCAAAAGTGTTAATGAAAAGGGTAAATCAAAACACAAAATAAAAGTTTAACATACCTCCAACGAGATGAAAATGCTTTGTAAGATGTGGTTACGGGTAGAGCCAAAGGTCTCCCTTCTGAGAAAACTTGACATTCAACTATCAGATCCGCACAGTTTTCTTTGTAGAGACCAGAAAATGCTAACATAGGATTGTGTAACAGTTTGTCATATTCAGGCTTCAAACACTTGCCATCTAGAGTCCCGCTGTAAGAAAGAAGAGTAATAACTTAGCTGGAGGCGTGACATGCAAAAGGTACATTAGCAATTCATTTAATATAAACTGTTGTCAACGAGAGGAGAATAATAGGTGCACGACCTAAAAGCCAAAGAAGGTATCATTGCTCCACTCATAATAGAAGTCTAGGTTAGAGTGCAAGGGAATTCATACTGTGTGAAGTCTCAAGATAAACTCACATTTTTATCTGCACTTTTTTCTCGACTGAAGAACTGTAGACATAGTTGAATTTATCCTTCAGATCATCCATTTTTGTGTGTCAAAGATGTTGACACATGCTCTATTTCTTTATTTTTTTCACAATAACTAGAAACTTAAGTTTGACATAAGAGCGCTGACAAAAGATGGCAGCCCCAAGAAAGTGTTCAGATTGTCCATCCTTGGCACACTAAACAGTCACGTCTAATGCCTTAATTTCTTATGATTCTTTGCATATAAAGGCAGCTTAGTATTTTGATGTTAATTTATTAATTTTTCTGTGGTACAGCCGTTCTTTCCAAGAAGAATTATAGAGGTTGTAATAGTTATTGTACGTGAAGTGGCTAATATTTCTGTTTGTCAGCCTGGAGTAACAGGTGAGCTTTGAAAATGGCAAAATTTTCGTAATGTTTGTAAACATTGTCGATATGCCCTCCAAAATACTGCAGCAACCAACAAATGGGCAACCTAAACGAAAAGTCCATTTCCTGTTATGGTCATTCCAGGGGTGATATCTATAGGCAACGTCAAGATTTAAGTCAGGTAATTTGGGAGTGGCATTTAACACCCTTGTACTAACCTTTTAATTAAAAAGTCACATGACATTTTTGCATGACAAGTTTCTAGTATTTTATTCTTTGCTCTCATTTTGTACCTTTTTTCATCATGGTCTTTCAAACTAGTGCAGTTCAATTTTTGTCCCAAGTAAATTGTGTTTTTGCCGAATTTGTATTCATCTGTTGCTCATTGTGACACTTTGTGCACTTTGGCTTGTTGTAATCATTCTGCCCGTTCCTTTCTTACAGTTTAGCTTAGCAAGTTTTGTGAATAACTGGAGTGGGCGCTCATACATTAGTGGTACTAGTCAGCACTCATCGTACAGTGTTTCCAGACCCTGGTCAAGAGTATCACGACGAAGGTAATAAGGGGAAAATTAGATAGAAAATCAATGAGGATTCCAGTGTTATTTAAGCACTAATCTTTGATTATTTTTTTTGTTCCAGATGGAAAGAATCTACTTTAAGCAACCCATACCACATTGCAAAAGCCACTTGGCCAGTACCCTACATAGAAGCTGTGTTCTTACCAGAATTTAAAATAAAAGGACCAATAACAGAGAGTAGTTTTCAGGTAATTTAAATATTTCACTTTTAACTTTTATGTGAATGGGATCAAACAAGATTGGTCAATTCTCTCAGTTTTGTCATTGTCTCTGCAGGTTTTAAAGCCTTTATCTTATGGCGCCTTTGGGCAAGTTTTTCATGTTAAGAAAATCGACACAGGCGATGATTATGCTATGAAAATTCTCTCTAAATCAAAGGTATTCATCAACTCTGTGTTTTCTTGAAAATTGTTTGTCTTCAGTCAGATGGTACAATCGCCTTGATCTTGTTCTGTATTCATTGCAGATAATCTCTGAGAGTGCAGTTCAACAAGTGAAAGATGAAGCAAGAATTCAGTCCACTTGTGGGCACAATCCTTTCATTGTTAACTGCCCTTTTTACTGGCAAAGCAGGAAACAATTATTTATAGGTAAAATATGATTTTTAAGTAGCTGTCTCATGTGCTGAAATATACTTTAATGCAGAATTTCCATCAACTTATTTTGACTCTTTGTGCTTACAGTTAGTGATTACATAAGTGGAGGCGAGCTTCTTGACCTGTGTCGCTCATGTATAACATTACCAGAAACTTTAGTACAAATCTATGTCGCAGAGCTGGCTCTTGCGCTAGACTTTTTGCATAATGCTGGTGTCATTTATCGTGATCTTAAGTTAGAAAATATCTTACTTGACTCTGACGGACATTGTCAGCTCATAGACTTCGGCCTGGCTAAGTGGCTACGATATGGAGATCGCACAAATACTATCTGTGGTACATTGCAATACATTGGTAAGTACCTCAAAGACCTCAAGCTTCCAAAGAATATGTTAGTAACAATGATGATGGATCAGCTAGTTTGAATTTTCTAGTCTTCCTTTCATTTCTTGACTCCACATTTTGGGTCCTGTGGTAAAATGTATTCTCAAGTCAAAAAGTGTCATGTGTGTCGTCTATATAATAGTGGTATAATTTTCTCAGCGCCGGAGGTGCTGAGCCGCGAGCCGTATGGCCACGCCGCGGACTGGTGGTCTCTCGGGGTCCTGGCTTGTTGCATGCTGTGCGGGCAGGTAAGTGCCAAGGGAAAGGGCCGCCCAGTTTCTAGTGAAAGACATTGCCGGCTTCTCTGGCCAGGTTCTCTCGCGCCTCGAACCGAACGTGTGACCCCACCAATGGGTTCCTCGTTCGGGGAGCAATCCATTGGTGGGGTCACACGTTCGGTTCGAGCCCCATCAAGCGACTGAAGTTAAAAATTCGTCTGGAATTTTGACCGCCTCCACCGGTGTTGTGGCAAATCCACTGTGAGCGGCAGGCCTCGTGTTTGCGGAAGCAGGCCGGGGGCACCGCGCACCGCGTCTAAATTGGGCCGATGGTAAGGGACTGGGCCCAGGCTAGCCCAGGCCGGGCCTCAGGCCGGGCGATGGACCACATCGACGGCATCGAGGTCAGTGCCCAATCTGAGCCATCTGAGCCGGCCCGGCCGGTCTGTTGGACTCCAGTCCGGGGCCTTTTTCTGCCCTTGCGCCTCCACACGCGCGTGGCCCACTCGTGACTCGGTTGTGACACTGTTTTGTTTTCCTCAGTGCGCACTACACTGCACGTAGCGGCTGTTAAAAATATCTACCTCCTCCTTGTCAGTGCAGGTCAGCCCTCATCATGAGTGGCTGCTTGAATTTTCATGTTCCTGCGTATTTTCAGTTATGCGCCGTAAACCTGCATATATCTACTTTTATTTATTAAATTAATTCGCATGTGCCCGTTTATTTTTTCCTTTGAACCAATTTATACGATTGCAACCAAAAGTCGCGAAGCGCCTGCGATGGTGGGCCCGCCTGTTACACAGCCGTGCGTTGCAGTGTTGCCTACCCTCAGTTGGCAGGCGCTAGGCGCCTGCGGGCGGGCCCGCCTGTTACACAGCCGTGCGTTGCAGTGTTGCCTACCCTCAGTTGGCAGGCGCTCCACGTCGAATGGAATCATGCCAGAGTTTGGGGATTTAAGGCTGAGATTTAATTGCAAGTCAAAAACACATGGGCAGTTGACCCTTTGAAGGGTATGCATTCCTTTTGAGGAGAATCTTCTGGCCCAAACATAAGTCGAATTGGTTTTTCATTGGCCCACATTACTTGAGCAAAATATAATTTCTGCTCAAACTAACTTTTAACTTGAAGACCTGTCTGTTTCCAAGTTTAAAACTACATTATTTAATTTGGTTGTGAAGTTTTCTTTTCTTTAATATTGTTTATTGATTTTATATTGGTTGGAGAAATAATGTAAGATGACAACTGTGTCGTTTTTTGTTGACTGTTGGGTTGCAATACAAAATACAAGTCACCAAATCTTTGTTCATCCTTGGAGAAGAGTTGATTTATTTCTGACCACTTAAAAATACAGACAAGTAATAAAATACATTTAGTTTGGATGGACAGCAGGATGGGTATGGGTCACTCATGTTCAGGAAATGCGTTCCCGAATTGGTTTTACAATTTCACTATGTCTCAAGTAGACTTTGTGTAATAATTTATCGCAAAGAAAACTAACCGTAAAGACGCACTCACACATTCATAAAACTACTTTAGAAAAATACAAAAAAGAACAGCTTAATGTTACCTATGTACACAAGGCAATTACTGTTCAAAACCGTCTTACTTCGTAACCATGAGCATCAGATTCTTCAGATCAGTCTTGACTACGGACCAATGTTGCCAAAACCTAAACATAGACCACAGTTTGACACATCTATTTGAAACCCTTAGATTTCCGCGTACAATTTTACGGCCAAACACTCCTTTTTTAAAAAGTTATTAATTTTATATTTTGACAAATTTGTGGTTTTGGCAACACTGCGGGCATACAAACATACACGCCTTTTTTTTTCTTTAAAAAAATTGCAACAAAAGAAAGGAAACATTGGCAAGCGTGTTGAGCCTGATTTTATCACCAAGTAGATAATTCTACGCTGAGCAATGGCGCTCAAAGCTCACTGCATATAAACCTACGCGACTTAGAGTGAGGAAAGTTTTGTTTTGTAGGTCGGTACGCGATCGACCTGCTGCTGCACTGTGCTGCACCCAGCTAGTTTGCTCTACAGTATCGGTCTACGTGCAGTTGGCACTATGAGTGTGCGCAGTATGCGTTTTTACTCTAAACTGCTCTAAACTCTGCCGCACTTAACTTGTACTGTGGACCGGTCTGTCCCTTCCCGGCTAGAAGATTTCAATAAATAGCTAAACTTTTCATCCTATAGCGCGGGAAGGGACAAAGCCGCGGGGCACCCCGTGGCCAGGCAACGGTGTGGTTGCCGAGTCAGAGGGGCTTGAATCGGCGGTAAAGACGACCTCTCGCTGAGCGGACGGGGGCCTTCACTGGACGGGGGCTGCGGGGGCCTCCGCGGCCACTACTGGTGCCTCGGGCGCTGCTGCCGCCACCGGCGCCACCGCTGGCGCCACGGGGGCCACTGGCGCCGCTTCCGCTACCGCTGACTTGAGGATCGGCGCCGCGTCGTCCTTCTTGATCTCCTCCTTCTTGATCTCCTCCTTCTTAATGTCGTCCTTCTTGATTTCCTCCTTCTTGAGCTCTTCCTTCTTAATCTCCTCCTTCTTGATGTCCTCCTTCTTCTCCTCCTTGATGGCGGGGATCTCGAGCTTCTTCACCTCCTCCTTGGCGTCGGCCACCGGGGCGACGGGCACGGCGGGCACGGCAGGCACGGCGGGGATGGCAGGGATATCGACCTTTTTGCCCTCAATGGGGGCCTCCTCCTTCTTCAGCGTTTCTTTGATGTCCTCCTTCTTGATTTCCTCCTTGATGGGCTCCTTCTTGATTTCGTCCTTCTTGATCTCCTCCTTCTTGATCTCCTCGGTCTTGGGGAGGTCCTTGGCCTGGACTTGCGGCTCGGCCTTGACCGCGGTCTCGGTGGGCTTGACGGCTTCCTGCACGGCGGCCTTGACTTCCTCCTCGCTCTTGCCCTTCTTGATGTCGTCCTTCTTGAGGTCCTCCTTCTTGGGTGTCTCGGTAGGCTTCTTCTTCTCCTCGCCCTTCTTCTCGGCCTCACGCTGTTTCCTCAGGGCGGTGTCGGCGTCGACGGCGGCCTTGGCGTCCTCGGGCTTCAGGTCCTTCTTGACCTCCTCGTCCTTCTTGATTTCCTTGATGTCCTCCTTCTTGATGGGCTCCTCGATCTTGGGCAGGTCCTTCTTGGGCTCCTCCTTCTTGGCCTCCTCCAGCTTGATGGACACTTCGGCAGACTTGACCTGGAGGATGCCGTCCTTGGGCTTGGCGTCGTCACGGCCACCTGCTTGGCGGCCTGGGGCAGCTCGCCGATCATCTCCAGCTTCATCGGCTCGCTCTTCTTCTCGGTGATCTTGTCCTCGATGGCGTTGGAGGGCTCCACCTTCATCTCCTCCGTGACGAGAGCCTGGTCCTTGTTGGGCTGCAGTGGCTCAATCTTGGCTTCGGGCTTGACGATTTCCTTCTTCTCCTCCTTCACTTCCTTCTTCTCCTCCTTCTTCTCCTCCTCGGGGATGGCCTTGGCGGCGGCAGGGATGCTCTCTTCCTTCTTGATTTCCTCCTTCTTCTCCTCCTTGATCTCGGGGATAATCTTGGCCTCCTCCTTGATTTCGGGGGCAATCTTGGCCTCCTCCTTGATGATGGGCTTGATCTCCTCCTTGATCTCCTCCTTCTTCTCCTCCTTGATTTCTTCCTTGGGCAGCTCCTTAAGCGACTCCTTGGGGATCTCCTTCTCCAGCGTGGGCTCCTTGATCTCCTCTTTGGGCAGGTCCTTGATGATTTCCTTGATCTCCTCTTTCGGCAGTTCCTTGGGCGCCTCCTTGAGAATCTCCGCGGGCTTGGCGAGGGGCTCCTTGATTTCTTCCTTCTTCTCCTCCTTGATCTCCTCCTTGGGCAGCTCCTTCAGGGCCTCCTTGGGGGCCTCCTTGGGAGCCTCCTTGATCTCGACGGCCTCGACGGTCTTGAGCGCGGGCTTTTCCTCGACGGGCTTGATGTCGGCTACCGGCTCAATCTTGACCTCCTCGACGGGCTTGACGGGGGCCTCGGGGATGGCGGCGGGGGCCTCCACGGCCTTGACGGCGACCTCGGCGGGCTTGGCGGCCAGCTCAGCCGTTGGCTCCACCGGGACGATGGGCTTGGGCTCCTCCTTCCGCGACTCGTCGGCGGGGATGTTGACGGGCGCGGCGGGGGCCGCGGGGGCGGCGGGGGCGGCGGGGGCCAGGGCGACGGCCTCCTTGGCCTCGGGGCCCTCCTGGCCCAGGGGCATGGCGCTGGCGCACGCCACTAGGGCGACGAAGAAGTACACCTTCATGGCTGCAACAGAAAAAGGGGCCGTGCGTTACAACCGATTCAAAATGAGAAAAAAACCTGAAACGCTACGCAGTACACACTTTCAGTTTTGAGTGCGCCCCGCGCGCCCTGCGTGTCCCCGTTTCGGCAGTGTGGGAGAAATGCCAGTCTCTGGAACTGAACCGCGGCACTGGGGCTATTTCCGGCCAGCGCGGCCAATTCGCGCAATTGGATGATGCGACGCTAAGTGGCTTTGCTCGGCTTTGCTTTGGGTCGTCGGCCCTGCGCCCTGCGCTCGCACTTCCTTGAGGCGGCCAGCATCAGTCCCCGCATCAGGTGGAGTCCTGCGGCCCTGCAGACTCATTCCGAGAGTCTCGCTCTGTCTCTCTCGCACCTTCACGAGACGCCCCACGAGTGCGGGAGAGACTGTCGGAATCAGTCTGCTGCAGCCGGGCCGCGGACCCCGAGGAATCGTTCCCCCACGGGACGCCCCTTGAGTGCGACAGACAGAGCGACTCTTCAAAATAAGTCAACTGGCTCCGCACTCGGCGCCATGGCCTCTGGCGGACCCTCGCCCGGGTTTAGCAGGTGTCCCTGCAGACCCTCTGTCTCTCTCGCACTCCTACGGGACGCCCCATGAGTGTGAGAGAGACAGGGCGACGGCAGCCACGGCAGCCTGCAGGCACGCAGTGTCGCCGCGTCTTATCGCCGCATTGGCATGTCACAATGGTGATCCTTATCGCGAAGGTAAGGTAGCGCCGACTATAGGGTGGCCCCTCCAAAGGGTGGCCCCACTATAGGGTGGCCCCCAAGCGCCTGGCGCCCGGAGCCCCTGCCTGGACCCGGGTAGATCTGCTCACACTGGCGCTGCACATGTGAACCAGAGAACGGGCGGCAGCGGCTGCCAAAATGTTCGAGACGCGTTTTGAGCTCCAGAGTCGCTAAACAGGACAGGTGTCTATCGGTCTTCCTCGTAACCTAACCTGCGCAGTTTTGACTCAAGGCCGGCCCTGGCCTCCAAGGCTAACTCTCTAATGAAAGTGGAAGGAAAGCGAACTCCTTGGCGGTAAAGTGCCACTGGATTGCGCGAGCCTTGCGGCGCCGTGCGGGCGGCCTGGCAAGGCAAGGCCCTGGGCGATGCTTATCGAATGCCTCGCAGAGCTGCATTCGCCCTGTCTCTCTCGCACCCACACGGGGCGCCCCGCGAGTGCGAGGGAGACAGGGCGACGGCACCGCGCTCAAGGCGCGAGCTGCCCGTTTGTGAATCACTATCGCGACGGCGCCATGGCGCGCCAGAGGCGCCAGACCTTCCCGCCGGATTTTCGTCCGAGTTTGGTTTGTGGACCGCCGACGACTCGAGGGCGTCCCGGCAACGACTGCGCGAGACACTCTCTGTCTCTGTCGCACTCGCGGGGTGAGGCTCTCGTGGGGAGAGAGAGAGAGAGAGAGAGAGAGAGAGAGAGAGAGAGAGAGAGAGAGAGAGAGAGCGACGAATCAGTGAGAACCCCTTCCTTAATCTCGCCTCTCGAGTTCGCTGCACCAGTTTTAATTAAACATCCCCCGTTGCCGTTTGCATGAGACATTTCCTTAGGACTCTCCTCCACCGGAGAGCAGAATACGCGAAACGCAGCGCGAAATGCGCCCAAATTGCAGCATAAATTTGCAGTGCGTTATGCATTTGCGATGGGCCGCTCGGCCTGGCTCGGCCGCGCGGAGAGAGAAGCCTTGCCTGCATTCTGTTTGCGGCGGGGCGGGGCGGGGCGGGGCGTTCCGGCACCCCTCCCTGCATCCCGCCCTGCATGCTTGTTAGGGCCGCCTGACTGGAGCGGGCTTGACTCAGTGGCGCAGCGGGCGCAGCGCAGGCTGCCTGTGCACACGTCACACCACTGTATGGCACGGCACAATGTCAATACAGCCCCCTTCCCCCGCCCCTTTCCCCTCCCCCGGGGGCGCGGGGTGCCACCCTGTTAAACGCTTCCCAGTATCCGAAGGTTAAGAGAAAATGAGCACTTTGCTGTTTAAGAGCGGTTGCGCACGGAAAAAAGTTGGTCCGACCAAGTTGACTGTCACGGTAAATCCATCGAGATGGTTTCACCGTGCTGAAAATAACAATAAGAGCCAGTGCCCAGGACAAACTAAAAATTTTCAATTCAGTTGGGCCAACCTTTCTTTCGCGCACATGAAAGGAAGCCAAAGGCAGAGAAGCCAAAGGGATGCGTAGCTCGCTCAACATTCCCCCCCCCCCAAAAAAAAAAAAAAAAAAAAATAAAAAATAATGGAAACACGGGAAAGCGCCCTGGTTGAAGAATCCATTTGTTTCCGCCGCTGCGCGACAAAGCTTTCTGCCGTCAGCGGGAATGAATAAATAATTGAATTGACAGCGCCCCGTCTCTCTCGCACCCCTGCGGGACGGCCCGTGAGTGCGAGAGAGACAGAGAGAGACGGCTGCCTAGCTGCACGTCACGGGACTGAAGTGCCAGGGCTTGCCAAGCTGGCAGCCCTAATTGAAGTGGCAAGGCGCAAGGTGCACAAGGTCAGGACGAGCCTCCACTGTTATTCGAGGAAGGTGACGTCATAATCCTTAGAAATGTGAATTTTGTCGCGTTCGTTGTGGAATACGATGTCGCATTGGTTTGATCCGCGTTCAAACGAATGTGGCATGCAAATGAAACGGCCGTGTCCACGTTCCAACGAATGTGACATCGCGTTCAAAGGAACGTGACGAAGTCCACCTTCACGAATGACGTCACATTCGTCCAGTAATAACAGTGTCGCAGCGCAGGGGTGACTTCCGACTCGGACGGAGAACAATTAATTTTAAAAAAACGCGTTCTTTTAGCTACGTCTAAATTTTAAAAAAAAGGGGCTTCACTTTTTTTTAAAAAATTTTATTTGAAAAAGCTGAGGTCTAAGGTAGACCTCTCCTGCTGAGAGGCGTCGACGTCCAAAAACAAAAACGTGCAAAGGACTTTAGTATACGCGGTGAGGGCTCTCCTAGAAGCTGCGCGCCAGTCTGCGCGCTGCCTTTGGAGATTAAAAGCAGAAACACGGCACAAAGGTTCGGGCGGTAAGCCCCCCTTCCCCCTCCCCTCGCAATTAGCCTTAGCCCGGCAGTTCCGCCGCTTTGAACGCATCTCGGAAGTCGGTTTATCGCTCCGCCTTTATTCCGTTATTACTCGAAGGGCAGTAATGAAGTTGCGAGACCAGCAGCCATTCATGGAACAAAACTCGCCAGCAATTTTGCATGCCTTCGCTACAGTGTGGCGGTGGGGGGAAAAAAACGGAGCCTGGACCACACGTTCACTGCACTCTGCATGCTCGGCAGGCACCGTGTAAAAAATGCATTCGCGAGGGAAGGGGCGCCGGCGCATTCTCCTGCATCCGATAGTTTCACAAAGAACCAGTCGATCCACTGTTAGCGTTTTCCGACCAAATATCGTCTGGCTCGTTCAAAGTCCCCGATTTTTAGTTCCGGTAAAGCGGCCGCGTCCGGCCGATCGGAATGTCTACAGGACTTGCACTTCGGGTTGTCTAGAAAACGCGACCTCAACCGCGCGCAGGTCAGCGTCCGCGACCAATGCGTCGTTGCGAACAAAACATTTGGCATGTTTTGAGCCGGTCCTGAATGCATTTCCCCACTTGGCTGGGCCACTCGCGCGAGCGCGTCCACACACACGCACCCACACACACACGCACACACGCACGCACACACACACACACACACACACACACACAGAGCCGGTGCACTTCCGTATCCAGTGGCGGAGTAGCTTCTTACCGGTGGCGGTGTGTCTTGACGCTCTTGAGGGTCCTCACGGGTGGCACGAGTTCGCGGTGGATCGCGGAAGGCCGGAAGGCGTGTGCACGGGAAGCACTCTGCTCGGCTCTGCTCGGCTCCGCTGCACGTTCTGTCTCACTCGTCCCGACACTCAATGCCGGAGCCTCGGCCGGGCCCCGGTCTTTTAAAGCCTTGGTGGTGGCGCGGCGTAGCTGGCGTAGCGCACGGACGGCCGGCCGGGGAGGGGAGGGGGTGGGCCGCTGGAGGGGAGGGCAGGGCACGGCCGGAGGGGCGCAAGCGCAGCGCAGGCGGCGCAGGCGGCGCGCGAGGTGCCAAATTGAGCACGATTGAGGACGCCCCGCCAAAAGGCCCCGCCAGAGGGCCCGCCGAGATTTGGTCTCGTTTTGGTGTCACTGGGGACGCACGCGTGACGACGCGTGGTCGCAAAGCGCCGCAAGGCGCCGCAAAAGCGCCGCGGAACACGGCGCACAGTGGGCCAGAAGACCGGTGATGCGGCCAAAACTCTAGACGCGCTTTGAGCTCTAAGGCCGCTAAGCAGGACTCGAACCGAACGTGTGACCCCACCAATGGATTGCTCTCCGAACGAGGAATCCATTGGTGGGGTCACACGTTCAGTTCGAGGCCTGTTTAGCGACTCTGGAGCTCAAAACGCGTCTAGAGTTTTGGCCACCTCCACCGGTCTTCTGGCCCACTGTGACACGGCGCACGCGCAGGGGCGCTTGCGGAAGACCCACCCCCCGGAGCCGGGCAGCCTCCCGCGCTTCCCACACCCCGCCCCGCACCCCGCCCCGCACCCCGCCCCGCACCCCGCCTCTGCCCCCAGGATCGATCCCTGCCTGGCTCCGGCAGCGTCCCGCACACGGATTCCGAGAGTCGTCGCTCTGTCTCTCTCGCACCCATACGGGACGCCCCGCGAGTGCGAGAGAGACAGAGCGACGACTCTCAGTGTGCTGGCTCGGCTCCGCCAGGCTCCGGCATCCCGGCCGGCCTAGGCGGGCCTCGGGGGCCGTCCGGGAGCGGCCTCATTATGCCGGAAGCAGGAAATTCGAAGATCCGCCGCCCTCGGAGACGTTCAAACGCGTCGAAATTGACAGGATTTTGGGAAAAGAAAGAAGCAAAAGACTCATTTGTGTTAAAAATTGCCAAGAGTTAAAATTTAACCTTCCTTTTTTTGCCTGCAATTAATGCATACGGTAGTACGTACCATTTAAGTAAAAGGACAAAGTAGAAGAACAAAAAAAAATCAATTTGACGATTTTTATGACGTTTTGTTTGATTCCGAGCTCGTGAATCCGAGTCAAACCGAGTCAAATCCCCGCCTCATTTGGCGGCGGCGTTTCCGCGCGTTTCCGCCACTGGCGCGAGGCGCGAAAGACGACGCGAGGTAGCGCACAGGAGATGCTCCCCTTTCGCTCTGACCTCAGAAGGATGTAGACCGCCGCTGTCGCGCTGCGTCTCGCCGCGTCTCGCCGCGTCTCGCCTGCCTGGAGTCACCGCGGTCGCCTCGGTCGCCTCCTGCACGGAGCGCGCCGCACGGAGCGCGCCGCCGGTGTAATCGCGGTGCAGTTGCAGCAGCCCTGACCCGATGATCGCTTTGCTCGCTTTGCCGCGCAGGCATTCCTCGTTCAGAGGTAGGTGTAGGTGTGTGTGTGTTTGTGTGAGTGTGTGATTGTGAGTGTGTGTGTGTGTGTGTGTGTGTGTGTGATTGTGTGTGTGAGAGGGAGAGGGGGGGGGATGAGAGCAGGTGCGGATACGGGGAGGGTCAATGGGGTTTATGGCCCCTCCCCCACATAGCCCCTAGATATCCGCCTGAAAAGTAGGCAAAAATTGCTACTTTGCCCCTAAAAATAGGCAAAAAGTGATACTCCCCCCCCATAGGCCGCCTCTGGATCCGCCTTGGTGAGAAAGGAGGGAGAGGGTGTGAGAGAGGAGATAGAGGGTGAGAGGGTTAGAAGGGGGAGAGGGGTTTTCTTCCAAGCATTTTTGTATTAATCGTATTTTTGCCCCTAAAGTTGACGTGGCGAACTGTGGTGAGCTGGTACACTCCGAGTTGCGAGTGTAGCGGGAGTGCTACTCGTTAGATGAGCAGGGTGTTAGCTGAGTGCGCCCTCTCTGAGCGCCTTTGCCCCCTCGGGCCCACGGAAGGCCCCTCGGGGGTGGAAGGGGGCCCCAACGGGGGACCCCAACGGGGGGCTTCGCGGTCGATAGATTCTTGCTGACAAGTGCGACCCGTCATCCGCCCCGTCGGCCTGCGCTGCCCAGATTTATTTGTTTCACTTGCTTTAAAAAAAAAGTGGGATGAAATTAAAAAAAAAATCTGACGCATTTTCGAGGTAGGGTGGTTCCGGACTATGCCCGTTCTCCGCGACGAAAGAACAACGCCCCGCTAGACGGAAATAGAGAAAACGACTGAATTCATCTGGACAACACAAACCGTGCTTTGTTTGTCCAGCCTTTCTCTGACGGCATTTTTAGAGCAGCGATCTTCCCGGGTCTAATATTTGTCCCCTCCAATCTGGCCATGCCTGCCTGTGGATGCCGGCCGGCGGGACGAGGACGGAGGACGGCGCGAACTCGGGTGGCGCCGGCCGGGTGGGGAGGGGGAGGGGGAGGGACAGGGACACTGCCCGACAGTCCACCTTATATCCGCGACGTGAGCAGGCCTAGAGGCAGCAGACTCATTCCGAGAGTCGTTTCCGACGCTCTGTCTCTCTCGCACTCATGGGGCGTTCCGTATAGGTGCGAGAGAGACAGAGCAAATCTGCAGGCCTGGGCAAGGGGCCGCCCAATCGTATTTCAGTACGGGCCGGGAAGGGTACGGCGGGCTTATCACCCATCCCATTTCATGGCGTGGCGTGGCGTGGACAGGGTCGGGACTGGGACCGGGCCTCCTGGGGTGGCTCTGCTGTCTGCACTGCGCACACAGTGGGCCAGAAGACCGGTGGAGGCGGCCGAAATTCTAGACGCGTTTTGAGCTCCAGAGTCGCCAAATGGTACTCGAACCGAACGTGTGACCCCACCAATGGATTGCCCTCCGAGAAAGGAATCCATTGGTGGGGTCACACGTTCGGTTCGAGTCCCTGGCGCTAGTACGTACAGTCGTTTTGAGGTCATCGCAAGTGCACATTTTTCGAAAGCGCTTCGCAACGCGGTCCACGCGAATGTCAGGCCGGTGTTAGCGGCGTTGCGCGTTCGGCGCCCCGCTCGGCGCCCCGTGTCACAACGGAGAGCCTGCGACACGCCACCGCCTCTCTGCTCTCCCAGTGAACTATTCGCCTAAAACGGCAGATTGCATCGCCAGAAAAACTTAGACATCGACGGTTTCTCTGGAAAGGTGTGCAAAGCAACCCTTTCGCACGCAAGTGCTTCTTTGCCTCTGTCCACCGCTGCCTCAGGTGGCTCCTGGAAAATAGACCCATTTTTCCAGGGAAACTCCAGGCACTGCTCTTGCAGTCTGCCGTCCCTCCGAACCTCAAACCCTGCCACCCTGGCCGCGATGCCGTCCTGGCCACCCCGCCAGAGCTGGCAGCCCGGCCCGCTATCAGAGGCGCTGGTATGTCACGCCAAGGCTCGCCACGGCTCGGCTCATTACCATGCCCCACACTCGATGAGTTTGACGATTTCGTGCGGATTGATTTGCAGGCGTGGATCCAGGATTCTTCCAAAACGCAGCACTGTAAAACCTCTACGAAGAATCGCTTCGTAATACGAAGAAAATGAAGGCATTGTAAAATCTACGAAGAAATGCTTCGTATTACGAAGCAAAATCCTTCTTTATACGAAGCATTTCACACGTTCGGTTCGAGTCCCATCTAGCGACTCTGGAGCTCAAAACGCGCCTAGGGTTTTGGCCGCCTCCACCGGTCTTCTGGCCCACTGTGCGACGCCGCTCCCTGTCGCCGCACTGCTTGGCCGGTCGTCGGCCGGCCCCCTGACGGTCACTGCCATCGCCCTTGCATTGTGCCTCCAATTGCATAACAGCAATGCTGTCCACTTTCTTTGCAAGTCGGCCGACCGGCTGCCGAGTGCACCACACTGTGTGCATCGCGGTTCGAGCGCGCGGTGCTCTTGGCCTGGCTTGCCTGGCTTGCCCGCGACGAGCTTGGCGGTCTCCGCGATGTTGCCAGCTCGGTTTGGCGATCCGGCAGGCGCTGCACTCTTAAAGTCCTACGGTCAAGTCAAGACTCTCAACATTATGGTGAAAATCCTCTGTATTATCGTGGTGGTGCATTTAATTCTTAATTATTCACCTTTGAAAATTTATCGCACCGTATCGATATTTTGTCGAATTTCTTGCGGACTATGGAGAAAATCTCCACCGTATTGGTGCAGCCTTTCTCCGCAAGGTAGTGTGTGCAGGAACAACACGCCAAGGCCGAATGGGACAAAATTTACGTCTTGATGAATATGACGTCACTCTCGTCGAGTTACATTGGTGCGAACGGAGAAGGGAACCTTTGTCTCAAATTGAAGACCGGAAGGTCCGGCAGTTGGTCTAGGGCACACTGGCCCGCACATCCGTGTCCGTGACCTCCCTTGCGTTTTTGTGGTTCCGTGTTGTGTTGGCCGGGGCCTTGCTCGGCGCTGCTTGCCCGTCCTTAGAACTGGAACGGTGTGGTCAGTCGGACACATCTCGCATTTTATTTTCAACGGACACTGAAAACTGAAAGAAGGGTGAATGTTGCGAACAAATTGCCGAGAAATATTTCTTATAGCGCCCTGAGGACGATAATCAAATTTTGGCATGAATTGTTTTTCCACACAATGTGCGAAGGGAAAACATAGAGCTCACCCCAATGTTCTCAATGAGCTCACCACTTCATGGCGAGAATTTCGGTTTCTCACCGGTTGCGCGTTGAGAATTTTGAGTCTCGCGCGAGGGGCACCTCACTTTGAACACACTAAATGTTATGTACACTATTGAACGAGACATCACAGTTTTTTGTGCACTCGAACTTTTCAGTCGGATTCCGATGGATTTCAGTCAAATTTCGATGAATTTTTGTCGAATTTCGATTAATTTTTATTGAATTTCAGTGAACTTTGCATGTTTGACTAATTTATGTGTACAAATTTGGCTGGAGTTATTTCCTCTTATGCCACACGTGACTTACGGCCGCTCAATTTAACTGCGAGTGAGCCGC